CATAATTAAATAAATTATCACATTAAAAGATTATAATTACGAGTATTATTTACCTGTAACTTGTTCATTTTTTTTCTTTAGCATATCAAGACTACGATCAAGCTTTGCTGTCAGGATATCAACCTTAGATTCCAGCCTTCCGTACCCTTTACATACATCTGGATTGTTCTTGCCTCCAGATATTATTATTTGACATGCGGACATAAAGCAAACACAGTACGCAATAATGAAAACTACTTGCGCATTTTTAACGTGCACACACAATTTTTAGTATCAAAGTAGTAGAGAATATTTCAAAACATTTAATATAATTCTCAGTTTCAAATGAAATAGACATTGATGAAGACAGCTGTTGTCATACAAAGTTTGATGAAGGAAATTTGGCCATGTCATGCAACACAAGGGATCATTTACATGTTCAACACACAAACTATGCATTTGTAGCGAAGTTGATGCTATAAAGCTAAATGTATACGCAAACTATTATTACGCATTAAGATAAAATAAAAGTGATAGAAACGAAAGCAGAAACGAAAGCATTTTTTCGTATTTAAGAATAAGGTAATGTAAATACCGTGTTGAAAGATTACGGACAATATGGAGATAAGAGGATGTGATATGGTTGCCAATGAGACAACTCTCCACCAGAACAAATGACGTAGTCACAAACTACGGACTGCCGAACTTTTAATAGTTAAGACTACAGTCCGGTCAATAATACTTAAATAAAGTTGAAAAGGAAAAGATATAGCACACTATTAATCACCGAGACTCAAGACTATATAAAAATAAGAACACCTGAACACACAAACTAAATTACAGGCTCCAAACTAGGGATAGTCACATAATGTGGCGGGGTTAAAATGTTAAAAATGTTGTCAGTAAATATTATACGTGTATTTTAATGTAAAAAAATATTTCAAAATTAGAATTTCAAATAAAATTGAGAATGGACATGGGGAATGTGTCAAAGAGACAACAACCCGACCAAAGAGCAGAAAACAGTCGAAGGCCACCAATGGGTCTTCAACACAGCGAGAAAATCCCGCACCCGGAGGCGGGCTTCAGCTGTTCCATAAACAAAAATGTGTACTAGTTGAATGAAAATGGACGTCACACTAAACTCCAAAACATATAAACGAACTAAAATTAAAAAAGCATACAAGACTAACAAAGGCCAGAGACTCCTGACTTGGGACAGGCGCAAAAAATGCGGCAAAACATTTTTTTTTAATCAACTTTTTCATTTCAGAGAAAACAAAACTCTTCAAATGTAGGTATAACAGACAACAAACAATAGTAAAAACTGACACTGCTCGAACTGCACATTCATTGATAGATATCTTTTAAACATACTATTATTGGTACATTTTCACCTGTATAAATGATTGTTGAAGCATACCACCCATAGACCAAATTTAAATAAAAATACATTTTTAGAAACAGTCATCTTGAACTTTGACCAGTTAACCCCACAATCAAAAGGCTTCTTCTCCTTCCTTGTATCCTCTAGCTATATAAGTTTCATTTTAAAAAAGCAAAGGTATTCATTTTTTTTCAAATTTTCTACTTTTAGTTACTGTCTTCCTGACCTTTGACCTATTGACTCAAAAACAAAAGGCGTCTCCCCTCTCTTATATTTTCCATATGTATTAGTTTCCAATCAGAAAAAGAAAACCCAAGTTACCATCCAAAAAACATTTTTTTCTATATATTATATTTAACGAAAAAGTGCCCTTGACCTTACATCAATTATTGTTGAACACTGTATGTTTACCCACAAATGTCTTAACTTTTGTGTGTCCTGGTTTGCAGTCTCATAGGCGTATAACCAGTAAGTTTTTATTTGGTGATCTTTGTGTCTATCTTAGTTTTTTGTCCCTATAAGTGTCTTTTTTTGCTATTTTATGGTGACTTATACTCAATTTTATCAATCATAACAGATATGTTCAATTAATTTTCATTTTTTTTAAGATAAATCAGTAGTTTAGTTTCATCCATATAGATTATTCTGATATTTCAGGTGCAAATACCTTCACTTCTCCCAACTGTAGGTATCCCCTGCCTTTCATGGTCACTTTGACATAATGGCCACTCATTTGGTGGTTCCAACGGAAACCAAGTAACTCATTATCCTTTCCTGGACCTTTATAGTGTGCAAATAAGGACATTTCTTTCAAGGTTGGCCCAACTGTGATATCCAAGTCACGTAGACGGTTCAAAAAGTATAAAAATATCTGCAGATATGAGATCTTATACATGAATATGCTGATTAATTTTCTCAGACTTGCCTATATCCTTCACCGTATTTTGGAATATAAAGCTTTTTAATCTTTACTGACTGAAATCTTCATGGACTTTTATTGACATTTTTGACATCTCGAGTTCATCAATCAGTGTAGTAAGTCGATTTTCTACTATAGCATTTGGTTTAAAAGTATGTACCTCTCAGTACTTACGTATTCCTGATGTCCAACAATTTGTAGTTTAACATTTTATCTCGCTTGTCTTTTGTTTCAACGGTGCCCTTCTTGGCTTTAGTATATTAATATTGGCCCTCCAATATTTGTGATAATGGAATGCTTCTTGTTTGATATATCCCTAGTTCCGATTCATCAGTACCACAGTGGTACGTTCCCTAATTTAAAGGATAAACCATGCTCTATTATTACGTAGTTTTCGTCTGTAATGAAAGGCCAAAGTTTAAGGTCATTTTTCTCCTTTTGTATATTTTCCCCTAAGATTTTTTATATCTCCAAAGTTTAAGGTAATTTTTCTCTATCTCAGAATTTGTTTACCTTCGTGAAGGTTATTCTTTAAATTTTTAATTTTTTTCTGTCATAAAAGTACAAGGTTCAAGGTCAATTTATCGGCTTTTTTTAGATTATGCTCACCTCTGTGAAGGTAACTCTTAAAATATTAAGTTGTGTCAGTCATGAAAGGTCAAAGCTTCAGGTCATTTTTCTCCTTTTTTTTAGATTTGTTCCCTTAGGATTTTTATTTCTCAAAAGGTCAAAGTTCAAGGGTATTTTTCTCCTGGATAAGATTTTTTCCCTAAAGTTTTTTATTTCTCAATAAGTTAAAATTGTGTTGTTTCGTTGCAGTCTCTTTGACGTTTAACTTAAAATTTCTTGAATTAATTTTTTTTGCATTTCTTTTACAAAGATGACATATTATCTCCTGCACGAGCCTCTAAATTGTGGGGGATTTTGTAGGGGAATATGATAAGTGTATTCTAATGTAAACAATACTTTCAAATTAGAATTTTGAAATGTCTTTACATTTTTCATAATTTTTATCAACTTTCTGTATTTCCATACATGAAAAATTATTTAATGATGTAATATAAAGCGCATGGCCGAAGGTAAATGCTGAATCAACTTTAGATCTAAAGAGTTGAACCACTGTATATATATTAATGTGCTTCTCCATAGTCAGTAGGTGCTCCTTTTAATTCCTTCATGAATTTTTGTCCAACTGGAAATTCAAAGTCTTTTACAGACGGCACTGTTCAATTAATTTGCTTATCCTGAACATGCATACAAATATTATCCACTAGTCGTTAGGCAAACACAAATTAATAATTTAGTTTAAAAACTAACAATTAATTGCTTTACTTATGGTTTAAACATTTCAACATTATTTGCAGATGATACGTTTACAATTTTGTTATGCAATTAAAAAGGATTTTATTGGGGAAAACAATTATGGAAATATGATAAATACAACCTTGAATCGAAGCAACACACATAATCAATTCATTCTGACCAAGTAAGTTACTTGTGTGAAGCCACCTTTAACTTCAAGCGCAACGCGTTTATTCAAATGCAGTAGTTATTGGGGTCCCATTCGATCAACCTACGAATTATTTATTTTGTTTGTTTGTTTAGGGGATTTTTTTTTCTTTAGGGGGGGGGGGGGGGGGGGGGAAGGGGGTATTAATATTCACGATTTCCGAAGTAGAGATGGAATAACGAGACAACAATACAAGATCACACAACAATAGCCAACTAATTATCACTCCTGGTCCAAACAAATTGTGATTTTATAACAACGGCTACAAAGGTCTGCCATATTTTTAAGGGCTAACCCACTAAGATATAAACTAAGACAACCACTTTTGGGTCATGTTATTTTTTTTTATCTCGATCAGTGGAGTTATGAAAGGTAAAACAAGGAATGCAGAAATGTAGAATAAAATTCATTTCATAGAAAACCATACTCTTTAATGTCGATGTAACAGACAACAAACAAGTAAACAACTGACACTTCCTAAACTACACATTCATTGAGAGAAAACATTTTTATTTCAAGGCTTCAACATACTTGATGGGTGCAATTCAAATGTACAAACATTGGTATGTGTTCACCTGTATAAATGTACAAATTCATAGAAGCATACCACCCTAGACCAAATTTGAATAAAAAAATACATGTCACTTTGACCGGTGACTGGTAAACCCAATTATCAAAAGGCTTTTTCCCCTTCCTTAAATCCTCTATATATAAGTGTCATTTTAATCAAGCAAAGGAAACTCAAACTACCACCCAGAAATCATTTTCCATATTTTTTTCTACTTTTAGTAACTGTGGCCTTTACATTTTACCCATGGACTCCAAAAACAAAAGGCGTCTTCATTCTCTTATATATTCCAACTGTATAATTTCCTATCAAACAAAGGAAACTCAAGTTAACACCCGAAAACATTTTTTTCTAAAAATATGATAACACAAAAATGTCCTTGACCTTCAATAAACCATTGTTAACACTATACGTTGACAAACACATGCCTTGACTTGAGTGTGTCGTAAATTTGCATAGGGAAATAACCAGTAGGTTTTCATTTGGTAATCTCTGTTTCTATCTTAGTGTTTTGTCCATATAGAAGTCTTTTTTGGCTATTTGTATTGACGAATACTTTAATTTTATCGATCACGATAGTTATGTTCAGTTAACATTTTTTTGTGTTTTTTAAGATTAATAAATTATAAAAAGAATAATCAGTAAATCAGAGTTTAATTCTTACAAATTATTCGTATATTTCGGGTGCAAAAACCTTCACTTCTGCCAACTGTAGGTATCCCCTGCCTTTCATGGTCACTTTGACATAACGGCCACTCATTTGGTGGTTCCAACGGAAAACAAGTAGCTCATTATCCTTTCCTGGACCTTTATAGTGTGCAAATAAGGACATTTCTTTCAATGTTGGCCCAACTGTGATATCCAAGTCACGTAGACGGTCACCTGTTTAAAAGGTATAAACAAATCTTATCAGATTTAATACATGAATATGCTTATTAATTTTGTCAGACTTACCTATATCCTTCATCGGATTTTAGAATATAAAGCTTTTTAATCTTTACTGACTGAAATCTTCATGGACTTTGTTTTACATTTTTGTTACACCACTGTCCCAGGTTAAGTGGAGGGTTGGGATCCCGCTAACATGTTTAACCCCGCCACATTATGTATGTATGTACCAGTCCCAAGTCAGGAGCCTAAAATCCAGTGGTTGTCGTTTGTTGCTGTGTTACATATTTGTTTTTCGTTCATTTTTTGTACATTAATTAGGCCGTTAGTTTTCTCGTTTGAATTGTTTTACATTTGTCGTTTCGGGGCCTTTTATAGCTGACTATGCGGTATGGGCTTTTCTCATTGTTGAAGGCCGTACAGTGACCTATAGTTGTTAATTTCTGTGTCATTTGGTCTCTTGTGAAGAGTTGTCTCATTGGAAATCATATCACATCTTCTTTTTTATATTTTATTCGCATTTTCGACATCTCGAGTTCCTCAATCAGTGTAGTAAGTCGCTTTTCTACTATAGCATTTTGTTTGAAAATATGTACTTCTCAGTACTTAAGTATTCCTGATGTCCAACTATTTATAGGTTAACATTTAATCTCGCTTGTCTTTTGATTCAACGGTGCCCTTGTTGGCTTTAGTAGATAATAATCGCCCTCCAATATCAGTGATAGCGGAATGTTCCTTTTGTAAAATTCCAATACATTATAGACTCCGAATCAACTATGAAGATGCAGATAACTGGTGGCTCGAAAGCGGGGAATGGCGGAATTGGATAGTTTTATTCAATAGCTTTAGTATAGTTGAAAATAAGATCAGAACCCCATACACTAAAGCGGGAAAATAAGATCAAAATGTACTTTGCATCAAGCCATCTTATGCTAAAACATCTAATAACTTACCATAATTTACACGGTTTTTTATTTCAATTCGCTTTATATCATACACATGTCCAAGATCGACCCACCAGTATGGTAAGTTTTCCAGTTCAGTATGTGAGAATGTGGTTGGATTTCCATCGTTCGCATAGTCAGTTGCACAGCATTGATTGTTACCCCATGAACGTGTATTTGCATACCAGGAGCTTTGTTGGCTTGTTTTCCTCAGAGCAACATTCTGTTGTTTGAAGTCTGAAGAAAAACATTTAGTGTAGAAAAGAAGTCTTTAATGTTTATGTGCAAGCTCACATTGTTACATGATGCAGGTGAGGCTTTATGCTAGATACTAAATTACAAAATAAGCTGAGATTTATCAGACATTCGGTTAACAGGTAAAACACGTTAGAAGACTATAATGGTGCACCATCCTTTACAAATTCTTTCATTGTTTGTGTGAACAATGATTCACTGGTTTTTGCAAAAAAAATATTTGCACTATTTTTTTATTTTTGTAATATAGTTTGCATTCTTTCAAACATTTAGTAAACTACATCCCAGTAACAGATACAGATATCCAAGAGAATCACCGAGTTTCCTACTGTGACATATTTTGTAAAAGACGATTGACCACAGTTAATAATAAACGAGGTGCACTCAATTTACAAATAGTACAAAATCATCCCTTTTTCAGTTTATTGGTTTTTTTTCGACAAAGCATTATTTCTGTCACAAATGTCACTCGGTTAGGGCTATATTCATACACGGCTGGTATCATTTCTGAAGTATTAACAACAACTTGAGATGAATGATCATTACATAGTGTGTTTTATTGATGATTTGGAACATTTCCCCTGAAAACCCCTAATGACAGCGGATTTCACTTGATCTTTACACATTTGATAAGACAACTGGACAATTTGCAGAGCATTCCTAAGCATGTAAAATGACTGCCGAATCAATGTCTTTGTTATATATTCGCCATATTTCGGTAGCTGTTAATTGTGAAAGGAGTTTATAAATAATTGTTCTTGAATTTTTAAATATTTCTATTTTTGGCATTTTAGTATTTTTAAGACAGTCATTGTTAAACAAATTCTATCAAAAATTATGTGATTAAATAACGGAACAGAATTAATCTATTAGCCTCTCAGACAGAAAAAGCTAAAAACCTAACTCAACATCCTGTTAGAAAGAAAAAAGCTAAAACCTTTACCCATCAAAACCAAAAAGAAAGCAGGCAAGGCAAAGTAAAGTAAAGCAAAGAAAACAAAAATCAACATAAAACCATTAGGATTTTGTAATTAATAGTATTTCAAAAAAATTATATGCCTAATATTTTTTACATACAATTTATCAATCATAGCACAAGATTTTTCAAGAAAACTATGAAAAGTTGTTCTTTAAGAAATTAACTCTTAAACCGAAAAAAATAAATTACATATTTTTATAATAAAGTTATTAAGAATATTGAAATTGAACCATATTTACTTTAAGGAAATAACTTTGAAACCAGGAAATGCTTGACTGAATTAAGGGAAAGTGACCATATTTTGGAGATTGAAAGAGGAGAGTGGACTTAACAACTGCATGATATGGACATATAAAAATGCATGTCTTTTTTTAAATTGTGGTGTATTATGCAATGTTTTGCTTTGTTTTCATGTATGCATCAACCCAGTTGGGGTATAATAGTGCATAATTTTCAATAAATAAATTAATTAGTGATACTTAAATTAACTGATAAGCGAGTGATTGCAAGAAAAATCCGTGCATTTCCAGAACGTCAAGACTGATTAGCTTACACATGTTACAGAAGACGAGACTAGTATACAACTGTGTAGAACAAAATAATTTATGTTCAAAAGAAAACCCAAACACGGTAAGAACCGTTTCTTGTTCTTATTACGCATACTTCATCTGCACGCTGAATATATACATGCAAAAATCTTGAATACATATAGGTAAATGAAGCGTTAATGAGACATCAGATTATCAAACATTTTTTGACGAATCCTACAAAAACGGGATGTCATTCAAAATAAATACCGTTCGTGAATTGAATCTACCTGAAATATATTTTAAAAAATGACATTGGGTTCAGAAAATTTGATTGCTGTTCCTCTTCTTCCAACTTTCGACTTTTAACAAGTTTATTTCAGATATGAATCGACAGTGTGTAATAAAAACTTAAACTTGATAAATATACCACAGCCATAAGAAAGTCGTACATCACGAGTTATTTATGGATTATCCATTTCACAGATGATAGCGGATATGTTCCTAATGTCGTAACTACAATCCCGTCCCCTTTTCCCGATGTGACCTACCGAATTAGACTTATTACCGGGTGTGTATTAACATGATAATCACGACTGGTGCCACATGTGGATCAGGATCTGCTTACCCTGAGATCACCCCTTAGTTTTTGGTGGAGTTCGTGTTGCTCAGTCGTCTATGTTGTGTTTTGTTTACTATTGTTTGTCTGTTAGTCTTTTTCTTTTTTAGCCATGGTGTTGTCATTTTATGTTCGACTTATGAGTTTGAATGTCCCTCTGGTATCTTTTGCCTTTCTTGTGTGCATATGTGATGTTTTAGCTTAGTTAAACTTTTGTATTATATTAAAACAAAAGCAACGCCTTTAAACAGAATAGCCTACATGTTTCTTGAAAATTAATGGTGACAGTAATATTATATTTCAATCCTTATATGTAGCGATTATTACGTTTTCTTCATATTGATACTGTAAAACACTAGCGAGTCACAATGTGAAGATTTTTAGTTGATTGTGCACTGCCAAAGAGTTGAAAAAAGGCTTCCTATTGCCGTCGATTAGCTGTTAATTTACATTATCAATATACTGCAGTTCTAATAATCATTTTTTTTTTACGATAGAAACATATGAAGATTTCATTTTTTTCACCAGCAAACAGTATGAGTGCTTGATGAGTTTGGTAATTATTTAAAAAAAAATTCAGCAAGTACCTTCTCACAAACTCTTATTAGGGGGAGATCTCTTCGATAATTTAGTCTAAGATACAAGTTACAGATATTTTTTAGCCAATTTTGGCTTCCATTGCTGAAAATAATATCATTTATAACAAGATAAACTCGTTTTAAACACAATAAAATTATTTGATTAACAACGATAAGTTTTAATGGAATGACAAAAAGAAACAAAGTAAATGTAGACACAATGTCAACATAACCACATCTATTTGTACTCATACTAAATAAAAATATTATTTACCTATCCAAAATCACACCGCGATCGTCACAATTCCTGGTATTTCAAAAACTTAAATGTGGTATGATTGAAAATAAGACAGCCATCCACCTAATACCAATTGACAACTGCATTGTTTTTATGTGCATATTTGATCAAATAAATCTAATTTTGCTTAATATTGTTCCCAATATTTCCGTTATGTTTTGTACATTATTCGAGTAGAGTAAGGAATATATTCATTACTACAAATTTATCCTCCGATGACATTAGCCAAATGAATTTATCCTTATCATAATTTTCTAATTTTTCAATTTGTTTTCTAATTTATTAAAATATCTATCTCGCTCTACACTAAAACTTTCTCATGTAATCAAATAATTGAACTCACCCTCTACATTTGTTTTACATATTTAACAAATGCGGTCTTTGGCTTCTTGGCCGAAGTATATGTCATTTTAAATTTCAAATAGTTGACAACTGATTCTAAATTTTTTTAGTAACTGCCTCCTCTCCTAAATACCGACTAGAAGATAGGGTTAAAAAGCAGAGTTATTTGTAAATTTTGAAATAGTTCAACAATAAAAGTTGTCACACATATCTTTTCAAATCACATAAAACCTCCTTCACATCCCCTTTGCTCTTTCTGGTCTTTTAATAAATGCTTTATGTAATTAAGACTCCATGATGCAGGATATATACCATATGTAAACCTAAGATTTACTCATTTATAGAGGGAAGACAAAATCTATCTTTGACTGTAAACAATAATTTCATTTGATTTCGAGAAGAAAGACCTTGAGCATTTGATTTCTTTAAAGATATATTATTTTATAACCTATTCATCAAACACATTTCTCCTCCAGATTCATTAATTTTCATAAATGAGTATGTCATCATTTAATGAATTTGATCTTAATTCAGATGTTTGAAATATTCAAAACCGTTCATTAGCGCTTACATTTATTTTCGTATTTTTTTCAGAACAATTTATTTGTTTTTAATTTATCTTACAAGGCTCAATGAGCTAATGGATTTTCTTCATATAAAGATTCTAATGTTTCAATCAAATTTTGTTGACATATGCGCATCTTTGCTCTTGTTGTATTTCTTAATAGTTAAATGTACTTGACACATATATATATACAGTCCTTGGATGTTGTTAACTTCCCACTAACACCATACACCATTACACCATTCACCATACACCATTACACTATACACCCTGTGCCATTACACCATACACGTTACATCTTTGCACCATACACCTTACACATTACACCATAATGCAATTTAATTTCAAAGAAAGCGTGCGACTACAAAATTATTTATATATTTTAAAAAACGAATTTTGATCACAATATTGTAAATTAATGTATAAAATTAAAAATCAGTTCTTATCAATATTTTGCATAGTTTTAAATGTCGTACACCATTCATTCACACCATTCCATATCGCACGTTAAACCATTACACCTTTCCCCTTACACCATACATAAAAAGCACCATATACCTTCTACCATTGCACCATATGCCATACACCATTACACCATACACGTTTTTTTGGGAAGTTTACACCATCCAAGGGACAATGGAATCACTTTTATTTTCCTACATGAGTGAGGATTTCTTATATAATTATTTTTTTCATAACTATAAGTCCTGATCATACCAATGTTTTTTGGTTTTTTTTTTTTTCTTATTTTTTATTTTCAGAGGTAAAACAGTTATACTTCTTTTTAAAGACTTACAAGCTGTAATTAAAATAACCTTACTGAAATTTTCAACATAGATAAATCATATATATTGCTATTAAAGTTAGAGATCCAATATTTATCACTTTCGAGTTTGCTGTTGACCTTGACATTTGTTTTGTTGTTCCCATTAAACCTACATCTTAACATACAATTAAAGTGACAGTGATCTGAAGATTCAAGGTAACGCTTATTAATTTTAAAATACATTATTGCAGATATCAGATCTTTTAAAATTCACATGAAATCTACTATGCTATTACCTAGCTTCTGTGAGGGCAGCCAGTGACATGTCATTTAGTGAACGTATTTGTGAAAAGAAAGACATAGTGTGATGAATTGTTGCTCTTTTGAGTTAAAACATTATCTTAATTCATCCTTGATAATAAGGTTAAGTCATCTATATAAGTATCAAAGAGTGGTATTTTATTAAAGAACGTTTTGTGACGTACCATGCAAACAATTGTGACCCTTCCCTCTGGAAGAATTTTATCATCTCATAATTCATTCATAATTATATATTCAATATCAAAAATAACTATTGATATGTCATTCAGTTTTCGTCTTATTAAGATATTGTCAATCAAGCAATGTAAGCTGCTGCTGAACGGAATATATATTAACATCTACTTATTTAGATAATAAGCGGACGACCTTTTGATATTGGGGATGGGGGAATTCATGCAGGAGGATTTTAAAAATGAATATTCTGGACTTATAAGAAGTAAACACAGCTTGTAAAAGGTTTTGCAGAGCCATGTGTCTGCTTGCGATTGTTGCTGTAAGTGTTAAAGTATAAATTTGGCTGTAAAGAGTAAGTTTACTGAGAATACTAAAAAATTTGAAAAAAATATATTGCAAAAAATTTTGCTTCAGACATTATATGTCTTAATCATGAAAAAAGCTTTTGTCAAAGTTTCATATAATCGTGTGAAAGTGTGACAAAGTAAATGATGTCCAATTAACTTGAACACTACATGCTAACTACAAAAAAGTCCGTCTATGAGTTGAAAAATGAAAAAAAAAATATTTTCATTTTATTGGTCTGGATACGGTCTTTTGGTCTTAAATAATCTTTTGTCCAAAAATTATAAAATTTCATGAAGGCTCAACAAAGTTATTAAATAATGAAAAACTTTAACCTTAGACTGTATCTAAGTGTATAATGTATAAAAAAAGTATATTTATCAGTAAAAACCGAAAAATGAAAAAACAAATTAAAAAATTAAATTTTGCCCTTTCGATCACAAAAAAAAATAATTTTTCCAAATCTCATAAAATTCCACGAGGGTTTAACAAAGTATTCGTGTATAAAAAAAATACTCCAAACACAGACTGAACCTAAATGATGACGGTGCCGACGACGTTCTCAACAACGGAATGTAAAATATTTTTTAAATTGTCTTGTTTTGCGGCATAAATGTAGCAGCTCGAAAGAAAAACCTTACCTAAAACTGGATGAAAATTTAAATTTTGCCTAACAAAAGAAGGAAAATAAATGTTGACACAGTTTAAAATAACACCCCCACTCCTGATTATGAAATAGTGGTCCTCCTACCATAAAAGGTACAAATATTGATTCAACGAACACACAAGTCGATGATGCCAAAGGGTTTTAAAAGCATTTCTTTCAAAATACATTTTCGTAATTAAACAAATTCACATATATCATCTACCTTTCTCAAGTATGAAAAGACTGCGATCAAGCTGTGCTTTGATGGTATCAATCTTAGATTCCAGCCTAACATCTGAACTGTTTCCAACGGAAATCGTTATATGACATGCGAAACAGACACAGAAGACAAATATAAATACTACTTGCTGCATTTTTAAATTGCTCAACAACTTTTGTTATCAATTTAGAAGAGAATATTTATAAACGGTTATAATTAATTCTCTGTTTCTAATGAAGTAGATATCTATGCAGACATCTGCTGTCATGCACATAATGATCAAGGAAGTTTGGCCATGTCACGCAACACAATGGATCATTTACACGTTCAACACGCAAACTGTATTTCATGCTTCCTGGTTGAAGTCGAAGCTCTGAAGAAAAATATATATGCAAAATATCAAAACAATTTCAATTAAAGGAGAAAGACTATAGCACATTTTTTTTAATTTATTTTGCATACCATGATGAAAGAAAAGTATACTATCAATGACAAACTACAGTCTACTATTACGTATTTAGACTAATACTAACTAGCTATAGCACACTGTTAATCATTAAGACTAGAGGCTGTATAAAAAAAAGGAGACGTGGTATGATTGCCAATGAGACAACTATCCACCAAAGTCCAAATGAAGTGAATGTAATCAACTGTAGGTCATCATACGGCCATAGACATTGATCAAAACCAATACCGTTTTTTAAGGCGATAGTAAGGCTAATGTCCTTAGTAGAAGTTAAGAATGGCGTTAAAAATTCAATACACATTCTCAACATCTCAACAATTTCAATCGTTCAGGTAACTTTTCCCATTTGCGTAAATTTTCTTGTAACTCTTCCCGTTTGCGTATCTTGTAAGCACCATCGAGTCCGTTAAATATATCCTTAATATATGTCATTGCGTTCAAATTCTCGAAAAACCACTCGTTCGTAGTCTACATTCAATTCTTTTTCTAACCTTTGGTGCATCAAGCGAACAGTCTCGAAAGTAATGAGTCATGCCATTTCTAGCTGATTTTTACAGTTTGTACTTATGTTTTGTTAAGACACCATTGTCCCAGTTGAGGTGTAAGTTTGGGCAATCACAAACATGTTAAACCCTTCTACATTTTATATGTTACTGTCCCAATTCAGGAGCCCTTTTTTATTCGGAAAGTTCAATCAATGTTATGTCCACTAGTTTATACAATTCTATTCTACAAACGTGTAAATCGATTACTGATGTAAATTATAGGGACAAAATAAACTTGGCTAATGACCAAAATGTGCAGATAATAGGTACTGCTACAGTGAGAAAGTGCTTAAGGTGTGCCCAACCTTGTCTAAAAGTGTAAATGAAGATAAAAAAACAAGGTACATACTCGATCACCTGTTTAATTTGGGGACATCGTATTTGTGGAATAATTAAATAAAAATTGATTTTAGAGAGACTGACGTAGTTCAAAACACGTTCATTTAAGTTGTGGAAATCGCGTTACTATAGATCCACACAGCAAAATTATATATAGGGTAGTATACCTATTAATATTCACTATAGTTATCAAGGAATGTGTGAAAGTAGAACTCCGATATTATCACAGGGTTTAATAACTTGTTAAGCCGTAGTCACTGCATCACAGGACAAAACCGTACCCGTTAAAATCTTCGGAGTAATTCAGTTGTTCAATATTCCGAAATGTAAAATCATTGCCATATTTAGTCAACTGACCGATGAGTTCCAGGTCTTGCATGTCAATACCACAGACATTGTCCCAGTTGTGCAAAGGATTTAGAAATTAATCCTGATTTAAAGGATTGCATTACATTCATGAACATGTGACAACAAGGACGTATTTGTTACAACGAATACACATAATTATAGTTGCACTGCTATTGCTCAATACCAATTTATACATAAATCAGGACCTTTACATCGAAAACCTTAAAGACTACCATCCCACAAAAAGGAGGTTTTAAGACACCATCTTGATAAGCTTCTTAAACAATTTGTTTTTTTGTGAACTGAACGTTACCAAAGATTGATTGATTGATTGTTGGTTGCTTGATGTCTAGTAACAAATATTTCATGCATGTTCAAGACGAGAACATTTAACAATAAATTCAACATGTAGGTCCTATAATAGATGCCGTCCGGGATGAAAGTCACTAGAAAATGAGTTATATTGGATAAGGACAGAAATTTTGCCGTGCAACATCCCCATGGACGTGGTTGCATACTTTTGTACATCCCACACAGACAAACGGACGCCCCACTTTGACAAAAATTTTACTGCCGGTCGGAAGAAGACCTGTAGTGTCCATATTTATACTACCCAGTCACCCTCGAGGGGAGGGGCGTAACTGAAGAGGTGCCGTCTACGAGCCCGATTGTTTTAGTGGAAAACCATTCAAAACCTTCTGAAAAAATAAGTGAGGAAAGAATCCTAGTTTTGGATTTGTGCAAATTTTCGTTAAGTGAACAACCAAAATTTTAAACATTTATTCCAGATTACATATATTTAAAGCTTACAAAGTTGATTAAGGAACGCATGCTTAATTATATAGGGTTAATAGCCATGAGTAGTTGTTTTGTTTTTCAAATGAAGATGTATTAAGACTTACAAGCTTTTGCGAGTACCAAAGGGTTTGCACATAGCTTGCTTCTACCTCATTTCAGTTGTTAAATAAAAAAAACATTTACGTATTTTGGCATTTGAATCCTGCTTATATCAATTTGACAACGTTCTCATTTGCTTCGAAACTTCCGAACAATATATATCGGATCGTCAAGAAGTTATCGATCGCTTCCGTAATGCAGGCCTTAAATTATATCAATATAAAAGAAGGACGAAAGATACCAGAGGGACAGTCAAACTCATAGATCGAAAACAAACTGACAACGCCATGGCCAAAAATAAAAAGACAAACAGACAAATAATAGTACAGATGACACAACATAGAAAACTAAAGACTAAGCAATACGAACCCTAACAAAAACTGAGGGTGATCTCAGGTTCTCCGGAAGGGTAAGCAGATCCTGCTCCACATGTGGCACCCGTCGTGCTGCTTATTTTATTACAAATCCGGTAAATAGTCTAATTCGTTAAGTCACATTCGTGAAAAGGGAAGGGTATTGTAGTTACGACATAAGGAACATATCCAATATCATCTGTGAAACGGTTATTCCATAACAGTCAACCAACTCGTAAAATTTACGGAGGGATGATTTCAACTTCACCATTTGGAACTCTTGGCTTAATAGCTTCCTTGTGAGCATCAATCCTCTATCAAGGAAATCATGATAGGAAACACAAGCCCGGGAATATCGTATCAATTGGGAGATATATACTCCGTATGCAGACGCTGCTGGAATGTTGCTACATAGAAATGGAAAGTTCACAATAAACGTACCTTTGCAAATTTTTTCAGCAATATTTTTAGGCCATCATATTTCAAAAGAAGCTTTCCGACCATCTCATGACCGTATAAAGTTTTTGAGAGAATGTCCTTGTCCGCAGAATTGTATATTAGATATGTTTAATTGATTTCGGAAATATGCTGCAAACTACAGCTCATCCATCGAACCGCTTACTCCATTACTAAGGAAATGTGCTAAATGTGTGTTGTCACACGAGTAGGACACATCATTCAAAAAGAATTAAACATTTACTGCAAACCTGTCGAAATTTTTGCATTTCCGAGATATGATTTGCAATATTTCTTAGCAGAAAGAAGTAAAATAACAAAAATACCGAACTCCGAGGAAATTTCAAAACGGAAAGTCCCTCATCAAATGGCAAAATCAAAAGCTCAAACACATCAAAAGAATGGATGACAACTGTCATATTCCTGACTTGGTACAGGGATTTTCTTATGTAGAAAATGGTGAATTAAACCTGGTTTTATCGCTAGCTAAACCTCTCACTTGTATGACAGTCCATAATGTTCTTTTATCAAGTTGTAAAAATGAAAGATGAGAGTAGTGTAATAGACCAAATGTTCTTTTATCAAGATGTAAAATTAGATTTAGATGATTTATTAAAATGCAGCTAAACTTTCTGTTAAAAATATACAGATGAAAATGTAGAATATTGCTCATCATAAAAAAGACAAGTCGTATTCCGAGAACACGTATACCATGGAAAATTATGAAGGTGGAACAATTGTTGGAAGATGGGAATAATGAAAAAGACATTGGAATAACAATCAACAGAAATTTATCTTTTGAAAAAAACATATTCAGACACAAGTAAACGGAACAAACCAGATTGTTTAATTAACTAGGAGCATTTTTACTACCTTGATAACAGAACATTTGATCTACTATTTAAAGTAATATTTCGTCACACAGCTGGAATATGCCAGTAGAGGAAAGTAACCGTCACAAAGAAAGATATTGAGTCAATAGAAAACGTACAAAGGAGAGCCATTAGAATTCTTTTACTATTGAAGAATATACATTATGAAGAGGACCAAGTGGTTGGCTCTAGAGGACCAAATGGTGCTGCCTATAGAGGACCAAGTGGTGCTGCCTATAGAGGACCAAGTGGTGCTGTCAGCAGAATCAGCATAAGGAGATATAAGGTAACATATTGTATGTGAAAATGTACCGATATCGAAGATATATAATGTGTGTGACGACATGCTTACATCGTAAGTGAAATACGCCATTTTCTTAATATACATCGATTTGGAATATATATTTGGTGTATATATAATAAATATAAAATGACTAAATACTCATACTACAGATTTGCATTTTGATGACTGACTTTTACAAAATCAAAAGCTTGGTATCTTTGGAGAGTTTTTGTTAACAATAAAATTCATGTATGTTTTCAATAAATGATCTTTATAAACATAAGATGTGGTATAATTGCCAGTAAGAGAACTCTCCATCAGGGACCAAATGACGCAGATATTAACATCTATAGGTCACCGTACGGCCTTTTTACAATGAGCATACTCATACCGCATACTATGCTATAAAAGGCCCCGAAATGACAAATGTAAAACAATTCAAACGAGAAAACTTACTGCCTGATTTATTTACAAAATAATAAACAAAATCAAATATGATATACATGCATTGATTTTGATTGGCTGAATTTTTTAAACAACCTCAAATACTAGCTATTAAAAACGCAAGTGAAAGTAAACAATCGACAGTTAAATTTGTGAATATGTAATCAACAAATGTAAGAATTAAGGGTTTATCAACTGACACCATCTAAAAATATTGTGACGTAATGATTAGTCTAACGTCGTCACGTTGTGACCCCTCATAGAGGAGTTCATGGTCACGTCTTCCTTCATTGGTGACAACATCTATT